TCATCGCAGCACAGAGACATTTACGCCGCTCTATCAAACAGAAATGATTGCCACATATACGCTTCTGATGGCTATATAAATCCACACTGCCCAGGCTGTATGTGAAATGCATGCTGGGAATTGAAGTGCCGGTAAACATGAGGAGCTCTGATTGGTTCTGACAGCTTCTATTACATACATGTGATCGCTTTAGATTGAACAGACAAGATTCAGCCTCCTCATATTACCTGAACCCAGGGGCCTCTGACCTCGCGGTAGTCATGGCAACGGTGGCGGGTTACATACATACAGATGAAACCGCGCTCAGTCGCAAAACCGCAATAGAGCATCCTTTTGTCTGTGCCTTTGTTTTGCCGCGGCGCTTCTCCGGTGGAGGGTTTGAAAGTGATTACCGATGTGGTCCACTTCATTAGCATGAGAACAAAAACAGCGTGGGGAACACATTATCACTTCACAAGAGAAAAGCCCGGCTCTGACTGCGGGTTTGTTTACTGCGCAGCGTTCGGACATTTTCTCTCTCTGAGTCGCGGGTGTCTCACGAGAACGTCGTCTTCTGCTGGAGGAAGAGATCCGCTCGAAATACACTGTAATGTGACATCTCACTGGGCATACACCACACTCTTAGAAGATACCAGGTGAGAGGAGACAAACATTATCTGACATTAGTTGTGTATGAGGGCTTGCTTTTATGCAAACTGAAATGTTAAAGCTGGGGTACCTAATTTTCAAACCATCAACCAAACCACTACGTAATAAAAATCCATCTAACGAGTTCCCCATTCTAAAAACAGGTTTTTTCTTCCAATGACTTTCTCATGCTTGTGTCACATCTTTAAATTGGCTATTTCCAGACGGAGAAGTGAAAAAGAGATCTCCAAGCCTCAAAAACGATCTCACGGGGCTCTCATACAAGTACTCAAATGATAACATGTTTTCTAATGAAGACGATGACAGCATGTTGTGGTCTGTTTTTTAGCGTTACCGTTAGAAAACAACATTGATCATTTATTTTAAAAGGTTTGTCCCGGCTTCTAATATAAATATATTGTTTTGTGTACATACATACCCGAGGCCTTGACAATCTATTAGGAGCAGTGGACCAGGGCACACAAACCATTGGCTGTAGAAACTCAATAAAAGCCAAGAATCTTTCTCCCACTTCCCCATCTCTGACTGTGTCCAGCCTGAAGGAAGGTGTGCCACCGAAATGTAGAGCAAACAAGAGAGTAGCGCTCAGAGGAAGCTATTTGGAGCGGGCTGACCCAAGGGTCGGCCAGCAGCCAGGCTTCCTGGTTAAAGGGGATTGGTGAGAATGGAGGCAGTTCCGATTAGCCAATCAGAGTTTGCCGAGCGGAAATCAATGAGGTTTCTCAGAAAATGTCAGCCAGAAGTGACCTTTCTGCCTATAACTGTAGGTGGAAGAGAAGAAATAGGGAGAGGTGAGGATGGAGGGAGAGAATGGAAAATAAGTGGTATGACCAAAGTAAGAGCACTACAAACTACGCTTTGTTATATTGAGGACCAATGAAAGTCCAATCCTGGAAAATGACAGTAAACTCAAAGCTGAAACCATATCAGAACAATACACCTTATACTTAAATATAAAAAATTAAAAATACTGTATTTTCACAGTCAGCAGTAAATCTGAGCAGGTAGCCCTCAAGCTTCACAGGAAGAAGCTTGTTTTCAGTGTGAGGTTTGTAGTTTCTCCAAGTGTCCTCTATGGTCCTCTATTTTCCCCCATCTCTCATCTTGCAAAATATCTTAAAGCTTCAGTTGAACTGAGCAAGCCGAGCATCAAAATACAGAGATGGGTCCCAAGGAACAGGGGGCTCGGATTCCATAGAAGAATTACAAGATAGAAAAAAATCTTATATAAAAAGGGGCTAATCTTAAATAGCAGCAGGATTCTAATTACACCTCCAGATATTTCCCATACCTTTCATTTTCCTCACCACTTTTCCTCGGTGGAAGAAGAGAAATGAAGTCAGCAGAGGAGTTTGAGTGGAAATCATTTGAGAGATGGCGAGAGAAGGAGGAAGTGAGAGCTGAGGTGACCTTTACTGTCTCCTGGCACTGCTCTGTCTCGCAGCATCCTCGTGGGGAAAAGACACGGAGAGACACAGAAACGGGATGCAGACACTCGATATAAAGTTTTAGGCCTAAAGCATTTCTATAAAATTGTAATGAACTTAGGTTATTATACAGCCATTAAAGTGTTCAATATATTTTAACCATTAGCAACCACAAAATTTTAATGATATCAGTAAGTTACCCAAGCCTTAAATTAACCAAACAACTATTACCTTTTTTTTTATTTACTCACCGAACCACAACATTTATCTTATTAGTAATATTAGTATTGCCTTTTATACTGTATACTTGTCAGGAAGATTCTCTCTTTTTCAATTTAGAAATTTTGAGAGTGTGAAAAAGCTGAAACACAGATAGAAAAAATAGAGGCATGAAAAAACAAGTGAAAATCTGGTTGAGAGTAAACTGGATTTAATTACTTAGTTCCGTCCTTTTTAGTTTGAAATCTACAGTAGGTCCCCCTGAGGTTTTTGTGATAGTAGTTATTATTTTTCCTCATATTTCATTGACTAGCTAACATCATAACGATAAATCTGATCACCACTCCACTGGATTCAGGCAGCAGAAATCATGTTTGATTATGCAATACAAAAGTCAACTGTGGAAATCGGATATTGAGCGGCGATGTGAGACTGTCAATTGGCACTCAAGGCTGACCTTTGGGTCGACCGACGGCTGGCGACGACGTGAGCGCAAACACGCACATTCACAGCAAACATGACTTCCATGCATATAATCCTCTCATCACTGCGCACTGATCAATGTCGTCAAATGTAGCACACTCACTCTTAAGAGAAATACTTCATCCGGCATAGACACAACGGGAATACTGAAAACTGGTTAATACAATATTTCTATAGCTGTAGTCATGACATTCTTGATCAATTATCCAAGCAAAAACAATTTAGGGATAAAAACAAATCGACAAGTTAAAAATAGTATGTAGATGAAAAGAAGGTCTGGTTTGAATCAAAGTGTATCGTCATTTTTTGCTAAAGTCACAATCTTTAGCTTAAGCTGCATGGAGAAGACTCCGGGGAAGACCCAGGACATGCTAGAGGGACTATGTCTCTCAGCTGGTCTGGGAACGCCTTGATGTCACCCCTGATGAGCTGGAGGAGGTGTGTGTGGATAAGTCTGGGCGTCTCTGCTTAGACTGCTGCCCTCGCGACCCAGCAACGGATGAAGCGGAAGAAAATGGATGGATGGATGGATGCATGGCCTCTCATTTTTGCAGTATTCCCATATTATAATTTAAATAAAATACTCAGTCTAAAAATGTTGGTTGACAAAATCCTCGGTCTCTCAATTGACCAAAACCAATAAATACTTATACAGCAATAAATATGTCTCAATTAAAGTTTGTCAAAAAAAAATCCAAAAAAAGTATCACATTCAAAGGACCACAGCTCGTCCTGCAATCAACCAATCAAAGCCTGTACAAAACCCTTTTACTACAACATAAATGTCAACTTCTACTAATTCACTACTTACGCAATACCATAATGCTTTGCGCCTTGGGGGGTAGCTGCGGGTAGCAAGCTGAGTAAAGCTGAAGAAGGAGGAGATTTTTTTTTTCTATGCTCCTAATTGCTCCAACAATCGAAAATGCCTGGACTAAAATGTTATAGAATACTGAAAGTACTGACCGCAATAAGTTGGAAAAGCAAAGGAGACATATTATTTTGTTGTTGTTCATGAGTTGTTTTTAGATCCATCCATGCTAATATCAGGAATTTCTGGCACAAACGTGTAACGCCACCCCTTCTGTAATAGTCTTTGTACCAGTATGATATCACGCCCAAAGCAGTTTTGATTTTTTTTTTTTAAACAAAAGTATTGCCAGTAAATAATTTTTTGATATTTTTTGGTTGAAATTACATTATTAACAATTGCATAGCTTTCTTTGAAACTGGTCATTTTCCAAATTGTTAAAAACAAAAAAAAGTGAAAGCGTCTTTAACCCTTGAAACTTATTTCACAATATTATTTCATATTCAAATATAAAATAATAAAAAAGATTATTTTAATGGGCAAAACAATGCATCATATTTTTTCTAGTCTAATGATCCATATACCACCGAGGACTAATGAATGATTGTGAATAATGATACAAGCCTTTAATTTTTCTACAAGTCAAAAAAGTGCTTTAACAATTCTACCCTGACTACTTACGAATAAACTTTTCATTTCACACTTCCAAATTAGGGCACTGACATTCCTTTCTGGAGCTGTCAACACTGTGGTCAAAGGTGACTCCAAACCCTAATGGGACCTCACCCGTCTGCCTGTCTCCCTTTGTCTATCCTTGTCCTCTCTGGGTGTCACCTGTGCCCGACCTCAGCTCACCTATGGGACCTCCCCTCCTGGGTCAGTCATAATTAGAGGAGTGGGCTTTTTGATTGCAATTGATGGGTGGGGGGGTGGACTTTTCTTTTTTCTCTCTTTTCCTGCCGGCTCCTCCTTCTGAACGCAGACTTTCACACACGAGCATGCGAGCGGGCGGATGTTTCGCTTTGAACTGAGCGCTGCGCCGTGTTCAAAGTGGAAGGCAAAAAGTACGGGGGTGGTGAGGGATGGAGAGAAGGACACTTGAAGGTGAATTTGATTTCCACAACTTAACCTAGCGTGCATGCAACCTGCACAGCGCGAGCAAGTGAGATCCCCCAAAGAGCCGTAAATGCACATGGATACTGCAGCTAATATGGTTTGTTTTTTTGCTAAGGTGCCTTACATATTTATGAATTTCACTTTTTTAAATGTATGTTTACTCAGTATGCATATGAGAGTGTAGGAGCAGGATGACTCATGCGAACCAGATTCCATATTTAGAGAAATCACAATGCGTTTGGAAAACCCTGAGTGTTTGCATGTGTTATAGCGCTATGCCAATTAAAGCAATCAAGTCAAGAGCGAGCCACCCACTGCGCTGCATACTGATGAGGCTGGCAGAGCTGAGCGCCAAACCCGGACTTGCTAGCTTGACCCGAGTCCACTCCTACAACCAAAACGCGGTAAACACTTCACCACTCCAATGCAGCGCCCTGCACATGCGAGATGCAAATACACTGTTGACAAAATGATGAATATTACCTTGCGCAAAAAAAGGAATGAGGCGAAACAACTAAAAAGTCAATGGCTCATTAGAAAGATAAAAACCTCGCAGGGCTCGAGGGTTAGAGAAAGCGGCTAAATCAAGAAATAAAAAATAAAAAAGAATAAAGAGGAAAAGACTTGAAAGACGACAAATCATAACAGCTGTAACTGGATTCTGAGGCCCGGCAACAGGGAACCTTTTTGATATCCTCCATCTTTTTAGCCTTCTCTCTCTCTCTCCATGTGCCCAATGCAATAGTAATATTTGCAACCGACCAATAATAAGTCGTTATATGGTGGTAATATGACTGCTAATGGATGCAGCGACCTGAGAAGAAGCATGCCATTAGTCCAAATGCAATGCAAAAGCTATCACAAAGCACTTTTAGAATTATCTCAAGATAGCCTATACTCTGTGTGCCAAACAACAAAAGGGAATTATAATGGCACAAAAATGCTGAGATTGGACCAACAGTGTGTTTTAAATTGATAGGAGTTGTATAAAATTAACCTAATTGTAATGGCCCACTAACAAAAGGACCATTAATTGAGGCCAAAAGCAGTTTATTTCCAAAGCTAGTGGGTTACTTAATTCAAATTTCTTTTGTATTTTTCACAGGGAATTATGGTTCTTACTGCCTTTATACATAATTTAACGATCAAAACAATTAAAACATGCCAAGCCCATGGAGGAAACATAATTAAAACATAATAAGAAACAATTATACCAGCTGAACCTAGCTTAGCACACACAGAAACATTGTAAAGTATTAGAGCTCATAAAGAATCCATTAGATTGGCGGAATTTTCAGGGAGCAGAAGGGATATTGTTGCTTAATTTTCTAGTACGGCATGTTTGTTTGGAGATGGGACTTTTATTGCGACGCAAAAGCCACACAAACACTTCGGAAAATAAAGATCCAGCATCCATCTCGGAGGTCAGCTGCACATGACTTATAACACTTTCCCAGAGAAACAGACAGGGAGCGCTTGCTTAATGATCGGGCCAAGTCTGACAGATGGCCAGCCACTTCCAAAAGAGCAGTGCGTGGCCGCAGGAAAAATGGGCCATTAGTGACCCTGGCATGGCGTGGCTGTGTGCATGTATGCATGAATGCCACTGCTACTAAAGCTAATGCTAAACTGCAGCTTTCAATCAATGCAAGTCACTGCCAAATGTTTGTAATAATGGATTGACAGCTGAATAGCAGGAGAACAAGCTTTAAGAGAAAGCTTTTTCCAAGTCACACAGAGCCATTCTATCATACCACCTCTTTAACAAGCCATTACATTAAGTATACTGTGTAGAAATTATGCTTAAGATTATGTACAAGAACAGAATGATGGACCATTTCAGCAATGAACAAAGTCAGTCGAATTGGAAGTGGGAACAAACCACTTTTTACAATGTGTTTTGATGGGTTTGGATGACCAGGAAATTAACCCCAAAAGCGTGCAAGAAAGCTGATCTACAGATGTGACGGACCAAACATACATACAGAACCAGTTTTAGGTCATAGTAGGTTTGGGTTTAATAGCGTTTAACAAGAGTTTTCTAGAGTGGCATTTTTTCATAACATTCTTTAAGCAAACTCACTAAAATCAATAATCAAATAATCGTTGTATAAAGAAATGTAAACTAAAAAATCTATTTGAATAAATGCAATTGGAAAAGTAAATTCAAAGCATGGGCGAGTGCTTTGGGTAATATTATGAAAGGCTTATCACACAATAATAACCCGAGCCCGACTTGTTCCTCTGTCAGTAATGAAGCAGCCATTTCCCCACAAACCCATCCTCATGTACACATCCTTCCCACACTGTAAAACAAATAGTCTTTGAGCATGCTGCTGGGACATTGCAACATAATTAGCCACACTGCTGATCTGGTCTTTACATAAGAGACAGCTCAATTACACACAAAAACATGGCGAGGCGTAGAATGGACCTACATATGCACAAACAAATACAACTGGCACATGCACACTCCTGGCTGCTGTCCAGGCTAGTCATGCTGTTGTGTCTATAAAGCCTTGAGCGGCAAATCGACAAGTGTAATACCCATAGAAGGCGAGGGAGAGCACACTGCGCCCTGACACACATATCCTGTTTCTGTATGGGGCCAAATATAAATCAAATATATGGTCGTAGAGCAAGATAACATAAGCTTTATGTACATTGGCTCTGCTCAAAAGCACTTTTACATGAGAACTCTGTTGACCAGAATTGGAACTGGACTGTGTCAAGCAGTCAGCAGAGGTCGGTAATAGCAGCACAAGGCCATGGCGCAAAATGAAAGTGCACTATATTGGAGTGGAGATTGAGGTCAAAGCTATATAGTGTGCGAGGCCAAGGAGAGGAGAAGCGATATTAGGATAGGGCCAAAAATCACCACTTTCCTCCCCCCGTTTGCTTCCCCTCATTCCCGGCTTGTCTTTCACCTCTCCTCCCTCAAACACAGCCGGCGTCCTCCCTCCACTCTCCCATCCCCGATTCAGCCCCGGAAACCAAGGAGAAGCGATTTGCAGCCGAGATCCGTCGCTAATTCTCACTCAGTGTTCATGAAAAATGTATAGCAGGCAGCAGGCAGACAGTGGGGAGATGCAGATTGGCCCTGAGCGCGAGCCTGGCTGTGCATTAATGGAACACTATTCTCACCAGCTCATCCATGTCTTTCTTATATTCTGGCTATATGTCTACGCATCTATAGACTTCTCTTTGAATGTGCCTTTGCAGAGTTGATTAAGAAAAAAAAAAACTCAAAAACATGAATATTCCAGGACTCTGCGGAATATTAACAGCACAAACGTGGCTATATGCAATCTGAGCATCTTTTTATGCATGTGCCTGGAAGCGCAGTGTGTATCCAACTAAACCTTCTCCGAGATAATAAGGGGTAGAAAACTTTATCTTAATCTTTAAAAAGGCACAACGTGAAGTTTGGAAGGCGGAAAATGGGTCGAATGAGTGTAGGAGCGCACTGTGGTGAGTGATTTCAAAGAGATAATGGCGCGTGTGTGTTTAAATAAGCACAGGTATAATACGAGACGAGATTAATACAACAAAGTGTAATGCCATCAGAACAAGTCGCAGTGTGGAGCATGCATAATAAACCTCCTGAGGAGTTAGCGCATGCATACACACTTGATGTCGCCATAGCAACGCTGGCCCCAAACCGGGAGTATGAAGATGTAATTTCAGCCTCCCAGCAGCCAGAGGGAGCCATGGTGATGACAGACTGCCGACTTCCCATCTCCCCTGGAAAGAGGTGCTCCGAGCCTGCTTCACGCACCAAAATAAACCCAAAGGTTAAGAGTGGATGTGTGTACGCAGCAGGGAGGACAGCTGAGACACAAGGGCACAGGCAGTCAGGAAGAATGTAGTGAAGTGAAGTAAAAGGATGTATTTCTTTGGCTTGTTTGGCTTTTAGACACATACATGTTTTAGTTGTACTGTTACTGTATCATTTTATCTTCCCAGAACAGCATTGTTAAGGCTATTCTATTATCTGGAATACATGGGTTTGAATTGTTTTGTCTGGTATCATTTTAAGAAGGCGTCTGTGTCTAAAATATGTGTAATGCCAGAACTAGTCGTAAAGTGGAGCACGCACAATAAATCTCCTAATTTTAAGAGTCCATTAAACCAAATAAACACCGTTTCATTACTGTACTATGTCGACTGCAACTGTATATCAATGACTTTCACGAATTAGTCTTATCATATTACTAAACCAATTCAGATACCATGAGGGTAATATAGAAAATAATTCAGCTTCATAAATAATATATGTATACATTTTCATAGGTAATGTTTCATACAATCACAAGGTGAGATCAAAATCATTTAAACAAATGGTCAAAAAATCTCACATTTGTTTTGTTCCCTATTGATAATTTCTGAAGTGAGTTTCTAGGTGTAGGTTTGGATATGCAGTCCTAGGTGGCCGGTGAATATTGCATAAACACAATATAGCTAGTTTGACCATGAACAGGCCAAACAAGAGTCTTGTGTGTGGAGATCCTCCCTGAAAGTGCAAGGGGACCTCCTGTGTCCATCTAAGGGTCCGCTGTGTCTCTGTTGTTCCTTATCTTTGTCTCTGCTCTGAAACCGAGGCTGGTGGAGCGGCGCCAGTTGAAACGCACCAGTGTTTTCCTAACCAAGTTCATTCCTCTCCATTTCCCAACACTCCCAAATCACAGGCCTGTCACACGGTGGGGGTAGGTGCATCTCTGCCTGGGCCGTGCTGGGCTGTAGGCGTGCTCCTGTCTCCTGTCAAGGGGCTGAGGGTACAGGCATGGCCTCACTGTTACTCCTGCCACCGCTGTTCAGCCCCGCGCCACTCGCTGCATCGGCTGGCACGGCTCCCAGTAGGTGGAACAGTGTGTCGCCTTCACATTTTGCAGTAACATACCACTAAATGCCTCTGGGCTGAAATACATTATTGATCCCCATGGGGCTAGACTCGCTGGAGAGTTTGGGCACAGCATGGCGACACTGACTCAGCTGCTGGCATTCACTGGTCTATTAAAGGACGCCAGCAGAAAAGTAGGGTGGTGTTGCCGCTTGAAGAGCCATTCGTCTAACTACAGAAAAAAAAAAAGTTTCATTACATTAAAAAAAAAAAAATTATATTCTTTCCTGTTTAAAGCTGGTGTACCTACATTTTACAATTTATAAATGATACATGTAGTTTGTATCTCTTTTTAACATTTCATCTAAAAAAGCTGATTTGTAACAGAGGCGAAAGAATATGCACAGGAAAACTAGTAATAAAACCAATTGTTTTGAGAGCAAAGAGTTACTTGAATGGATTTTCAGTCACTTTAGTTTAGTTAGGATTTTTCTATTGACTCATTACTTAGTGTTGTTTAAGCCCAGCCATCTTATAAACATTCTGCAGGAGTAATCTTACGACACATCACAGGTCTTGTCTGTATGACTGTATTCAACTTCCATTAAACTCATTCATATCAGCCATGGGAAAAAAAATCATTCAAAAAACACAACACAGGGTGAACAACTGGGTAAGCTCAAATTGAAACATGCATTCACAGCTTAGAAGGATCAAATAAAAAGTCTGTGTACATGAAACTGTGTGTGCGCACTAAATGATTCATGAGAAGCAAACGAAAACAGGCGCGAGTACAAGCGGAAAAATAGCCCGCCTGAATTTTAGATGAAGCCAGGTCCTCTAAGCGTCTGTGTCATGATACAGGCTGCAGAGTGGTGAATCAGAGGTGAACGGAGGAGGGATACAGCAGGCGTGAGCGTGGCTGGATGTGTGCGCCTCTTGTGGGGAGGCTGCTGGACGCTGTTGCTGGGAGTGTGATGGTAGCTCCACATTAGCAGTCCTATTCTCAGAGGTGCTGGTTCATAGCGGTGTCAGAGAGCTGCAGTGGCCTTCAGCGCTGCCAGTCTAAGAATAGGCAGAGGCCCGGGGAACATGTCGTTTCCCTTAAGCACACTCCCCTTTTCTCTGCATACTTCAGAGAAAACATCTGAAGTATCGTTTTCCAATTTATAGTTAAAGTGACAGGAGGGGTTATGGAGGAAACTATGGACTGACGCTGTGGATAATGCTTTTTGTCAGTACATACTGTGTTCAAATATATCTGCTGTATTTTTAAAGCACATGAATTTAAAAGCAGTAGATACATTTTCCTTTCCATATGGGATTAGCCTGTTTCTTATGCCAGATTCCTCTCTTCCTCGTCCCTGGTGTTTCTGTGCTGTCTCTCTCCTCCCCCTGCACTCTAATGTGAGGCTGAAGCTAGCTCTGCTGGATGACATTACGGTGCGCTGCCTGCTGGCCTGTCTGCCTGCCTGGGGACTCTAAAATAAAACACAGCAGTGGGAGAGCCACAGTGAGAGCACATGCTATAGGCTGACTGACATGCTCTGATAAAGCACACACGTGCGCTGCCTGTATCTGTGCGCTGAGCAGGGATGTGGTGGGGACAGAGGGGAAGGCCAGCTTCTCCAGCTGTGTCCTGCCAATCATCCATGACCCAGCACTCGGAACAGAACAGGAGGCCAAGGTGGACAGGCCTGAGAAGAGACAGCACACTCACGTAGTGCTCATGAGTTTGTGTTTGGGTTTCAATGAAAAACATTCAGGGAGATAAATGATGCTTATAAACGAACAACACATTTGTGTGAGTGTTTAAGAGAGGAGTCACATCCGTCACCCAGAACAAGTGACAAAAAGATAACAATGTCTCACTTGACTGCTCCTCACCCTCACTCCTTTCTCTCTCTCTCTTTCTGCTCACCTCAGAGCCCCCTCCTGATCTTTACACATGACTGCCCATCCTCTCCCATGTCCCAGAGGATGGGAGCTTGTGCGGCAGCTTGGCAGGCTGTCAGGGGAGCGTGGAGAGCAGGGAACATGTAGTGACTGGAACGGGGGCTGGAGGAGGGTGAAGGTGCCAAAGGGAGGGCAGTGGTTCCCACCTTACTGTGGCAGTGGAGCACAGGCTTGATGGAAAGTGCACAAAGGCGACAAAGGCAGGAGAAAAACTCTTGTTTTTTCATGTTTGTAACTAAAAGCCTTTGTGAACCAAACACACTGTGAACCAATCATTAACAACAAATGTTTGTTACTGTTTATAGGGTCCATAACAGAGGACTCATGTGAGAAAAGAGGCAGTAAACAAGAGAGACAGCAAACAGAAAATGTGCGTACTGTGTGCCGGTGTAGGCGAGCATCCATGTAGTGTAGTCACTACACAAGGATCATTAGTGGTACCAAACCCCCTTTCAAACCTATTATATATCTGTGTTTGTGTTAATGATATTGTTATGTATGCAGGTTTAAACAATAATCTATCTATCATTACCCTGACTTTCTTTGTGAATGTTGTTATTATTTGGAACAGTTGGAACAGAATGGAGATGAACTACTACACATGTTGTAGTACTAGTTAATCTCCATCCTATTTCATTTAATGTGTCAACTAATGCAGTGACATTAACTATTGGGAGTCAGGATATCTCATCAACAACATCATCTCAATATTCTCAATAAAAACAACATCAAGAATAATATCTGAACTCATTATCAATCAAAATATAATTGTTTTAAATTCTCCCCACAGTGTAAAAAAGTAAATTAACAAAAATCACCACTGATGCAAACTCGGCAAGCACTTGTAGAGTGTGGACCTCTGCCAAGAAGCACAACTCTATTCCTTTAAAGAAAACTTCTAAATGTTACCAAATGTTATTGCTTGTCCCAATTATTCAAAAATAACGTCTGAATAACGTTGTTAACTGACTAACAAAAAGACACAAACCCCAATGTGGAGGGAATGACCTCTAAAATTGTTCATATCCGCTAGTAAATATTTTAAAGTGTGGACTGAACTGAAGTAAGCCTGTTGTGTAGCAGCCCCTGTGCATTATGTTTCTAGTCCCTAAAGCACTTTCTCCCTTTGGTGCGGCTTCAAAACTACCGCCACATCATCACACATCAGCCCTGTCCCAAAACAACAACATGACACGGCCGACCTGTGCTCCCCCCCTCCCCCTGACAGTAAAAGAAAAGAGAGAGGGGAGAGAAAAAAATGACAGCAGCTTCAGATCTGACATCAAACGCCGGCATGAGAGTGAGAAAGCGAACATCTCTGCAATGACAGGCTGTTGGAAAAAAATCCCGGCAATTCCTCTTCTATCCTCTTTCTATCTACTGTATCCATCGCTTTCTCTGTGTCTCGCCCATCAAAAAATGTGCCGGCGATTAGGATCTAGGCAAGCCGTGGGTCGCTTTTAGATGGGATGTAAAGAACACATGGAGGACCCAGGGGTAAGAGAGAGAGGAGAGTAGTCCTGGTTCAAATGCAAAGGTCTTAGTGCTTTAGATTCACACACTCATAGATCAAGGCTGCCCTTCAATGTGTTAATAGGAGCAGGGGGCATAGAGGGGTTGATGATGCTGATTTAGAGAAATAATGCAAAAAATGAAAAGAACAGGACACAGAAAAAACACTTTTGAATGCTATAAAAAAGACACATTAAAACTATTTGATACTGGAGGAATTCAAATGAATAGACAATATATATCTGTAAATTACTTTAAATGTAGTTCCTTCAACTGTTAATCTGATCATGATTGGTCAGTTAAATAAAAATAGTATAATTGAAATTAGATCTAATTGACAATTAGGGAACAATTATACTTTGTTTGTTAGGTTTGGTTCACAGTGATTTGATAAATTCAATAATTTCTCTTGCTTGCCATCACTTTTTTTCTTTTTTATATAATTGCTAACTTGTAAACCAACTGCAAAGTTACTAAGTTGAAAGAAGAAAAAAGTATAGCACCTTCTACTTATTTAGCCAATTAGATTTCATACATTTAATTTAGTTTTCACTTCGTTAGCACTCTTGAGGCCTTTCCAAAGTATCTCGCGAATTAAACGGCGTGCACCTCGAGTTGTGCCAATATTTGCGACAATTTTCAAATGTGTATTTATTCTATTCTCGCAAAGTGCTGAGGAGCGGCAAAGGAACATACTGACAGAAAGTGAAAATGAGTTTAAGCCAGCACAACAGAAGAAAAGAAAAATGGCACAGCCTACATGTTGTCCTTATGGATGATTACTCCTCCGTTCCAACCTGCTCGCTGAATGTGCGCTGGTCCGAATGCCAGGAGGCTGAGTGGGTTAGTGTGACTGTGCTCCAGTGCGAAGGTCTCGTGCTTGTGCATATGTTTTTCATGGTCACGTGGGTGTATGTGAAACAGCATGTTTAGACTAAGCTTACAAAGTTATTTTGATTTTGTTTGGATCGATAAGTGCCATTTGACGAGCGCTGGTCTGAAATAATATAGCAAAATAAAAGTGATCATCATGGAAGGAGGCGGTAACTTCCTGTTAGCTGTTTCTGGAGGTAATTATTTCTTTGTAATCTTGTATTCTCTGTCCGTAGAGACAAATAGGCGATTCCAGTTAAGTTAAGTTAGTGGTCAGATCTGTGGAGGGAGTATTCTGCTCACATTGAGAATGAATATCTAGGGTTTTAATTATAATAAGTGCAGTTTTCAGCCAAAAAATAATTCCATTCTCTCAGGCAACCAAAATCGATACAACCATACCAGAAAGCCCTGTTCTTGCTGCAGTTCACTAAATTAAAATGCCAAAACATATTTCAGAAAAAAATAACAATGATGACTTTGATAATAATAATAATAATCAATAACAAAGCATCAAACATACATTTTTGGACACTCAAAAATACACAAAAGAGCAGACAAAAATTACAAAATGTGTGGAAAAGCAAACTAAAATAGGTGAAACTTCAATGTATGTTTATGTCTGCTTGTGTAAAATGTATGCAAAATCTTCTATTCTATTTCTGTATAAATGTAAACGCTAATAGATAAATGTTTCCTGAAATAAATAAACAAGATTACACAGATAGCTTGCAAGTATGAGGTCAAACAGCTTGTCTTGCTGGCTTCTCGTGTGGAGACCTGAGGAATAACATTGGACTCTCTCACTCACTGGCAGGCTGGATGGGCGGTCTGGAGGTACACCGTCCTCGCTGTTGGCCTTCGCAGAATTGGTTGTGGCTGGACCCCTGGAGTTAAAGCTTTCCTGCTGGGTCTCCTGGAGTGCAGGAACAAAAGAGACAAATGGGAGAAAATCAGTCAAACGCATAAGCTCTAAATCAAATACAAAACACATTTGGAACTCGCATAAGAAACCTTCTATTAGGGCTGAATCGTGCAGTCTTGTTGTTGACATGGCAAGATCAAAGTCGCAAACCAGGGGGAGCAAATACACAAACACACTCCAGCACAGGAGAAAGAAAAACGAACAAAATGAACTGTTAGAGTAGCTTTAACCGTCAATTCAGCTGTGCCAAATCTGGGCCTATAACCGCCCACTAATCCGGCATACATACAGTAGCACACACCGCCAATGGAACGCACACGCCTGGTCTATTGTTCAAATCTAAGTCATTTTCTTCCCCCTCTGTAATCACGCGCCTATCTAGTGTAAACCAATTTTCCTTCCATTGTCGGAGGTGTTGCCCTCTCCCACACTCCCTTCCATATCTCTCTGCCTTTGCCTTTCTCTTTTCATTCACCGCCGAGGTCGTTTCTCCATCATGTTAAGCATCTGCTGCACAATGGCAACTTGTTAAAGAGCCCTGAGTGGAGGGATTAGTGATAACTGGGGTCGCACACACACAAACACATACACAAACATAAACACACACACACACACACACACACACACATGCAGGCACACACACTCCTGGCAGTTTCTTCAAATCCACTTTCTCTTCCCATGTTTGAGGTCTTATCGGTGCAGTAGGTGGGCGATGTTGCTGCCAATAAGACTATATTGCACTTTGTTGCAGATTATTCCATTCAGAAACTCTTATTATAACAGGATTAAACTCACCTCATAGACAAGCTGTCAAAAAGTCATTTGCTTGTTAGTGATTCAGAAGCTAATGCGATGAGGCCACTTGTGTTCAAATTATGAATTATCGATTTATTCCACTAATCTTGATGTAAAAAAAAAAAAAAAAATATGATTACATTTGTATGATTGGAGAAATTATATGACGGAGAAATAACTCCAAATACTGGACATACAATGTGTAATTTACATTAGCAGGAACTAGATTTGCATGGCTAACCATTGCCTGAATAAAATGAATGGGTAATATCAGCTTCATCTGTTCATATACTCAATTAATTTAACGTAGCCGCATATAGAATTAGCTCTCCCAGTTAACAGTCAGAGATAGAGGTCAAGCCATAAAGATTAAACCGACATTTAGATTCTCATTTTCCTGCTTCCATAAATGGTAACATTCTTGCTGCAATGAACGGCAACACAAATTAGACCAAGATAATTGCTGTAAGTATTCTGGTGTATATTTATCCAAGTTTACTTTGTTTTACCAATAAACCTCATACAAATTCATAGTTGTACAATAAATAATGTATGTTTCAGAGAGGATGGTTTTGAATACAATGCGCATGGGGACTAAAACATGTTAAATCCTAATCAGAAACTTTCCTGGTTGTGTTCAATCGCCGAGTTGAACCAATAAATTATAAAAGCTAGGATATATATAGGAAACATTATTTTTCTCAGTAAGAAAACTGTGTCCTCTGCATTTGACCGATCCTGTAATGACACAAGGGAAGCCTGTCAGGGGCAGTGGTCACCGGGGGACCCCTCTCCAGATGCTGGTACTTGCTCAGGACCGGAGCTGGAGGATGTTACCTTCGGGGCATGTTTTGGGTGGTGAGGTTAAACCCACCCACACATGGGAAAAACAAACCCATGACCTTCTTGCTGTGACGCATGAGTGCTGCCCACTTGATTTGTTTCTCAATAACAATTAACCGGCTCAAATGATAGAAATGAGTGCCTATTCTGCCAAATAAAAGATCACGAATATTGAATGATAAATTAATTGAATTGGATACAGCTAAAACAGCCTTACACAAAATATTATCATTTTTGTTCCAAATTTTGGTATTTATTTCTGTAATTCAACTTAAAATGTGAAACCCATACATGATAAAGACCTATAAAATGACATATGCCAAGCCTTTGTTGGTTATAATGTTGATGATTATGGCTTCAGTTCATTTTCAAAATATTGTACTTCTCCGAGATCCGCTTCTTCTGCGTTCTTACAAGCCATGAGCTGGTCATCAACATTATAACAATGAGTCTGTCATATATTAGTTTCACAGTTGAATTACTGAAGTAAATGGACTTTTGAACAATATTCTAATTTTCCAAGTTTCACCTGTATCTAAAATGGTAATAATAATAAATGATATAATCGTAATATCTCAATCTTCTAAATAAAGGAGCATGTCATAGTTTGATATCACATTCACAACTTCAACAATATTGGGCTCCCATGGTAAATAGAAGAAGTGTTGGATGTGTGCAGTCAGTGGAAGGTGCACATTGAACAGAGCTGTGTAGTAGAGTGGCTGCTGACCCAAGTCCAATATTTACTCAGGCGTGAGTGTACGTGTGTGTGTGCACGTTTGTGTGTACTCCAGGGGATTTCTCTTTTAAGTGGGTCAAAGTGAGCAGGGTTACCTCGTGCCACTGTTTACACACATATTCTTACATCATCCATGAGTAATAAGTACATGGGGGCACCAGGGGCGGAGCTTACCAAGAGACTGACGGGCCAAAACAAACAAGGTGAAAACTGCAATGGCCTAAGCAATTACGATGAAAAACATAGAAGAGAAAAGACATCATAGGAGAGAAAGAGTGCTGCGAGTGCATCCTTTCATTTGAGTTCTTTCCAGTCCATTGTCTCAAAATCCCATTTCCCAGCTAATTTAGAAGCTTCTAAAACACACTCCACTCCATACCTTAAGCCTTAGGCCACGGCTAATCCCGTCTCCACACACTCACACATACGCACATGCACGCCTAGACACGCTCATTCATCCTGCTTGCGTTTTCAAAAGACTCCATCTTGGCATAGTAGAAATGAAGGATATTGAAGGAAAGCGTTTGAAGTGCATGGGGGAACGCAGGGAATCAAACTGTGAGTTAAATGCTATTAGACAGCTGTGTGGAGAGGCAGTGTAATATTAGATGTGATTGAATAGATGACTGCTGAATGCAATGTAATATATAGAGCCGCAGAGGCTTTCTACAGACCTAAATCAATATAGCAGAGCAGCGTTAATCCCAGTCACTCAGGAGCGGCTCACAGAGTTGGGAAAGTAAAAGATGACTTTGTTGCACATGATGTCAGTACATGCTTTACAAGACGGTTTAGAAGTAATTTGTCTGTGTGATGTTTGTACCCGAAATTGGCGTTTTCTGGTGAGAAGTTTTCCATTCTAAAATTGGGCTTGCCATTTAAGAAGGAAAGAGGGAAATAAGTCCATATTTGTGTCCTGTGTGTAAAGCCGCTTATTTAAAGTCCACAAAGTATATACACATAATTGCAAGGAATCTACTTATTACACCATGCTTTTCTACCCAATAACCTGTATTGTTAAAACAAGGTCAGAGAGTCAGTTGTCAGATTTAAAACAGCTGCACTACAAAATCTTCGCTGGGACCTGCTTTGGTCTATGTACTAGAGCTGGGAGCAGGGTGAAGAGTCGGCCTGCCTTTACTTGAATTGGTTTGATTGCTTGTCGGGACAAATAAGCAGTGAAACTGGTATGACAGCACGCAGGCACGTCTGATACCTTCCCCATGACACTAAACAAAAGCACAAGCCGTAGAAATCACAGCCATTAACTAAAGCTGATTTCACCTGACATGCGTCTTCAATCCTTTTTTATAAATAGCAAAGACAAGATATGGATTACTGCAAATTGAACTTTGGCAGGAGTTTCATCTGACATTTTTTAGTGATGGATTAGACATTCTGCCTAACAGTCTCTCTCAGCCTGTCAGTCTCTCAAACAGCCAGCCGCACTACATTGTACAGTATCTTACTACATTATTGTTGGTCAATGTGAACTTAGATGGCCGTATATATATTCTTATTGTTGTAACTAAATCAACTATTATCAAATCAGCTGTTACCAATGTAAATTCAGTTTACGAGTAAAAAGCCAACTAAATCTTTAGAAAGGGAAGTCAAGAAAGCACAGAAGTAACCAGGCTCTACTGACGTCAGAAAGTTATCAAAATTGCTAAAAAAGTTTGCTACTACATCACCACAGAGTTGGTTTATCAATATTAGCAGCCTGTGCATAAATCAGCCCCACTTCTCCCTGAGCTGATCCCAGCACCTTCACCTCTACCCTCCTGTCTCCTGCCGCTTTATTCATGACTTACAAATGAATTAGTCATCCCCCACTTTTTCCCCTGGACCTTGGCAGATGCATATCTCCACAAATCTGATGTTAATGCCATTAATATTCATTAAAAATTAAGCTTAATTGTGCGCCTTTAGGAGGGAGGCCGCTCAGTTCCCTCACTCCCTCCCACACAGACTCTAATCACGCACATTATAAAGCACAGCACATTTGGATGTGACCCTGTAATACTTGAGGGGCAGGTTCACTGATGCTTGAGCAGCTATACATTCTACAAGACCTTAGTATTTGGGACAAAGGTTTGTGATTGGGCATTGTGGGTAATGAAAGCATACACTGTACGTATGGAGTATACGTTTTTCTTTTCCTACATTTCCTGGATTCATCTGAGTACTGAACGTGTTTATGTGTGCACATTTAAGTGTGAGCCGGGTCCAAATGACTCTTTAACATCCATTTTCCTGCTCATTTGCCTGGGCTGTGAATCTGTGGCCCTCAAAGAGAGAGAGGAGCGAGACATGGCCCTCTGCATCAGAGGAAGACGATACAGACAACGCGGGCGATGAAGACAGGGCACATCCATATTCAGAACGGCACTTTCACACATGCGTCAGTTACGAATCGCACCAATCAGGCTGACGGGGCCATAATTGAATCCACAATCAGCCACTGTAGCACTGCGGAGTGATGCGATCGTGACACACCAACATTTGGTGTGATGTTCATGTTTTTCTGACACTTGCCTTTTTGATCCATTACTCAACGTCTGAAAATCGCTGTGGTTAGCGTATGATTACTTCTGATATATCTCCCATACAT